CACACACCACACACACACACCCGACGCACGCACGACACACACACACACACACACACACACACACACACACACACACACACACACACACACACACACACACACACACACACACACACACACACACACACACACACACACCCACACGAGTCTGAAGACAATGACGCCGTCACCGCTCCAACGGCGAAGGCGGCTGCTGCGTAGACGCTAGTTCAGACTAACCGGTCGGCCATAGCGAGTGGAGCGTAGCTATACGTATAGATACGTGTAATGTGTTAGGGTTAGAGCTAAGGTGAGGGTCAATGTCAGAGTTGGATAATCAAAACCCTAGCAATGAAACGACAACCGTACAACTACAATATACGTACGTTAGGTTATAGTTTGAAACTTCGACGTAGTATACGTGCGTAACAGTAAGGGGTAGGAGTCGGACTACTCGAGATGCTAGGTAATCATAGTTCTATCACGGAATCTGATCTTAATATCTGCCATTATATATTTATAATATATAATATATAATTATAATATCTATAATGATCTGCCATCAAGTTTATTTGCAGAAGCATTGATATCAATCACTTTGCCATCAAACTTAAGTAGATAAGTACATAAGTAACACAAATCCATCTGTGTCCTCACAGGTGATCTGGATATTCCACTTGCTTTGCTGGCTAATCATATGCAGCATGCAACTCACAAAGGTCACATCAGCTTCTTCATTGTCAAGCAGGCACTGGTTTTCTCCTATCGTGAATGGGGAGGAGCAGCTCATCCGTGGGCATATAATTTCAATTAATTTCTTCTTATTGTGCTCGCTTCTCATCACAATTTCTCGTTGTGGCAGTACCGTGTTTGGTGTCAGTTTGAGTTTAGTTGCTGCGGCATTCGCATAGCGCCTGTCCCGTTTATGAGACTTAACGGAGCCATCATGATAGTGGGCAAATATCATGTACACATCGTGATCCCTAATTAGCGCTTTCTGGCAAGACTCTGTTCAACTGTTGAAAACTTTTGCCACAAGATGTGATACATCATAGCATTTCAATCTACTAGATCTACATCTGGTTAGGTCGACAATTAATTTTATATATTATACAAACTATATGAACACATAATTATCCGAACAATTGTTGGAAATGAATTTGTCTCTTCTGACTTACATCAAGCATGCGGGCATAAACGTTCTCCATGTCGTACATTTTTTATCACCCACCTTCACACTTTTCTAGGTTGTTTCCATTGTGAATATTCTTTTCTTCAAAAGCTTGTAAAAGCCAGCTGGTGGTTTAGCTCTAAACTTAGAAACCATCGTCTCCCCAATAGCAACAGCATATAGTGCACATTCACTTTTTTGGAGGCTACACATTGACGATATTTACTACTCTATTAGTTTCGCACTTCAGTGGATGTGATGCTCATGTAGATCGTCTCTTATCTTTTGCCTGTCACTGGCATCAAGCTTCTGTCGTGCTTTGCCTTCTTACTTGTATTTGTTACCTGTGTTTACATTTACATCTACATAGAAAAGGGTGTCCATACACAAAGAAACGAGGTTGCAGATGTGATAGGACAGTATCCAGCCAGCTACTTGGTCAGTTGATAGCGTCAAACCTACAAGACCACCCTTGGCTTTTCTATATCTAATATACGTCTGTTATCCAAACTGATCGATGAAGACTGAATTCCAGACATCATGCTTGTGTCGACAAACATGCCCTCCTCGAAGAAACATTGTCTTTGCAATCATATAGAAGTGTGAACTCTATTTCTATCAGGTACCAGGCATATCAGGCATAATTCCAGTGTGCAGCGGCAAAGAAGTAACAAAGCATTTGTTTAACACAATAACAGTGTAAGTGTCAATATCCTTCTCTCTCTGCACGTACGAACACGTGAGCAATCAATACTGGCTTGATGAGGCAATCAACCTATAGACGACCGGTTGGCGTACTCCTGTCTTTCTCCAAGCTCGTACATTTACAGGGAATCCGCAATGACATCTCTATCAAGAATGAAATCGTATAGAATGGATGTCATTACTGTTGTACTGCGAAAAGTGTTGATGACTTCGGGTTTTCGTTGATAGCAGCGTAGAAGGTAGCAGCGTCGTTTCGTCAGCAAATAGTAGAGAAATTAGCAGCAGCATCGTAGATAGCAGATTAGTTGTTTCACTTGGTCTTCATTACTTACTCAACACATACAAAATATATACAATACCACAGCCTAGGCAACCATGCCTATAGACTCCGGCGCCTCGTCTCGATCTCTCTCCGACTGACTACATAGTCACAGTCTTTCTCTAAAATCTTCTATCTTGTCTGTTTTTGCTTGTCAATTGCTGCTTATATATATCGGCTTGAAACCGGATCTAGCAGAAACTATTCTGTCAAAACCAGACCTTGGCTAAAGCAACAAGCGACGCCCGTTCGCAGGTGCGTCCTATCCCTAGCGCAAGGCGGATGCGGGAGGACGCGCTCGTCCATTGTCGTTTGCGCGCCGCGTCAATCACTCCTATACATGTAGATGCTTTAGGTGTGACGTGCCTAGCGTCACGTCCCGTTACCACCGTTTGCTGGATACATTAATACCATACGTAACCCCTCGTGGTTTAAGGGCATGCTTTTCCGTTCAACTTATTGTTCACAGGGAGAGCAGACTTGAGGAGGTCTTCCAACCCAGACCCTTTCATGAGCATACCAATGCAACTGATAAAAGACATCAGCCAGTGCATACCTCCTGGGCGCACTACCAAGTATCTGATCTGCATGACGACTTTGTAATGCTGCAGGTCGGCAACCAAATGAGTAAATGCGCTTCCATGTTGTTCGATGAATCGAATGTGTTCAACATCGTTGTTAAGGCAGTGTCTGGGTGAGCAGGTGGTGCATCTATCAGTGGCCCATTTAAAAGTTTCACATAGAGACAGTTTGATATTTTTCATATATATATATTGGTTCATTCTGTGTCCTTTTCTTCCCAGAAATAACTATAGAGGGCGTATCAATCAGAAGTGCTTGTAGACATGGAAGCCTAGCATGGTATATCTGTTTGGAATTAACGCTCTGGGAACAAGCGATTAATTTACTGTTTGTCTGGAAAGAATCTGTTTGTTCTTGACCATGGTCTAGAGTATCTGTCACTGTTATTTGGTGATGTAAAGGTCAAAGGTGCAAGTAGTTGTATGTCCGGGCAAAGCAGTAAGTTTGAATTTAACTGTACGATGTCATTTGTATGCTAGCTGTGAATTTAAATTGTAATTATTCGAATCATTGTACTATTTAGCGTCAGCAAAGAACTGAAAATCATTATTGTTATTTTTCAGAATTGAATGGTAGTTTATAAATAAACCACGATACATTAACCTGGATGTACATCTGTTGTCTAATCCCTCCCGCACCACGATTCAATTTGCTGGTTGTAGTAGACTACCCACAACTTCACACCGGGGAAACTCAGGAGATAGAAGGATATGTTGTAAGAAAGTCTCCTCTGGGTTGGATAGCATTTGGCTCACAAAGCAGTGAACTGGAACACAGTAAAGTAATGTATATCAATGTGTCCAAGTCCGTGGATCTGACACAATTCTGGGCAACAGAGGAAATGGGCGTGAAACTACCAGATTGTAAATGTGAAGAAACTGAGCAGCTACGATTGCCACCTGCAGAAAAGAAACAGTATGAAGAAATGTGGCAGTCTTGTAAGAAGAGCAATGACAGATGGACAATGCCGTACCCTTGGCAAAGGGATCCCAAAGACCTACCAAACAATATGAATCAGTGTGTAGCAAAACTTGCCTCTCTGGAAAAGAGGTTGAAGCAGAAACCTGAAGATACAGAGCTGTACAACCAGCAGATTGTAGAAATGACTGAAAGGAGCATTGCTCAAAAATCGACAATGGCAGAGAACAAAGAGTACAGACATGTGCACTACATTGCTCATCACTCTATCCTGAGACCAGACAAAAGGAGCACTCCCACCAGAATTGTGTTTAACACCTCAGCCTCCTTTAAGGGCCACTCACTGAATGACTACTGGGACAAAGGCCCTGACCTACTGAATAAACTCTTTGGGGTTCTTTTGAGATTCCGACAGTGCCCAGTGGCTATTGCTGGAGACATCAGCAAAATTTACCATCAAGTGCTGATTCCGGAGAAAGACCAGCAGGTGCATAGATTTCTATGGAGAAATTGTGAAAACAGAGAACCAGATGTCTATATGATGAAAGTGGTTACATTTGTGATAAGCCTGCCCTTTCTATGTCATTGACGGCACTGAGGAAAACTGCTTCTGAAGGAGCAAAGGATCATCCCGAAGCTTCTGGAAAACTCTGAATAATGATACATATATGGATGATATATGTACATCGGTTGAGTCCATTGAGAACGCCAGGCAATTGACAAGCGATATTGATATGGTTTTGAAGATCAGAGGATTTAAAGTGAAGGAGTGGGTATATACTGAGAGTATTACAAACGAGAGCGTCATAAAGGATGAAGGCAGAAAACCTAATGAAATGGCAATCATAAAAGAAGCCGAGGAACAGAAGGTTCTGGGCGTTGTGTGGGACCCGGCATCAGATGAAATGAAGTACAAGGTGAAGCCGGTTCACGTAAAAGATAAACAGATATTGACGAAACGAATGGTTCTAAGTGAATTGGCCAGGGTCTATGACCCGATTGGGTTCACCGCTGCATTTCTCATTCGAGGAAAGATCTTGATGCAAAAACTATGGCAGAGGGGTATTGACTGGGATGATGACCTACAGGCATCTGAGAAATCCGAATGGAGAAAGTTCTTCCTGGAGTTGGAGCATTTAGAGGGGGTGTCATTCCCAAGATGCCTCATGCGAAAACCAGTGCCTGTTGAGCTTGTAATTTTCTGCGATGCTTCAGAGGATGCCTTTCGTGCTGTCGCATATACCAGATGGGAAGAGAGTGAAGGAATCTTTGGTGTAAGGTTCCTATCTGCCAAGTCCCGTGTAGCTCCACTGAAATGTTTATCCATACCACGGTTAGAGTTGCAGGCGGCTGTCATTGCATCTCGGCTTTGCGGCACCATAAGGAAGGAGATGTCAGTAGACTTTGAAAGTGTTGTATTTCTATCAGATAGTATCATTGCATTGTCTTGGATCCGGGGCCAGTCCCGACAGTATAAGACATTTGTAGCCAATAGAGTCTCGGAAATTCAGAGCAGTACAGACCCTTCAGAGTAGAGACATATACCGGGAGAATGCAACATTGCCGACAAAATTTCAAGAGGTGTAGCTGTGGAAGATTTAAACGGCATCTGGGGGACTGGGCCGCCATTCTTAAAGTTTTAGATTCAGATTCAGATTCAGATTCATTTTATTTTGCACTTTTCATTCATTTGTACAGATCATTTCAGATAGAAGTAAAAAGGGAGAGAAATAAATAATATTATAGAATCGATAGGTTTAAGGTGAATGTGCGTAGTGGTCAAAGTAGATATAAGCTTTCGAGTTGACCACTACCATAGGTAATAAAATGTCTGAGGGAAAAACTACAATTAAACTAAATATAGGAAATAAGAGGAAAACAAATATATACATACATACATATATGGAACAGTATCTAGAACAACAAATACAATTGATGTAATACGTAACAAGAACAAGAAAGCAATTATAATATAATATATAACTAATTTCTAATGGTCCTAAATAACATACACTAATTTAATTTAATTGGACATTTCTGGCTGTCTATGTACAAAAAAATATACATATATACATATATATGGAACAGTAGAACAAAAAATACAATTGATGTAATAAGTAATAAGTAACAAAAACAAGAAAGCAATTATAATATAATATATAACTAATTTCTAATGGTCCTAAATAACATGCACTAATTTAATTTAATTGATCATTACTGGCTGTCTAGAAGGAATAGCTTATAATTATGTTTAAATTTACTGTGAGGCGAGGTTATAATTTCAAGAGGAATTCTTTCCTATATCCTTGAGGCCAGAGACTTAAATCGAGATAAACCATAGTTAGTCCTGGAGGCAGGTCTGTGTAGATTACCCTTTGAGGCATACCTAGTGTTGTAATTATGTATTTGTAAAGCAGAAGAGAAGTGGCCAAGTTCGATTACTAGAGCAGATGTCAGTGAGATTTATAAAGAAAAGAAAAGGAAAAAACTGTGATGATAGCTCAGGAGGTGGATGATGCTATTGACGTGGAGGATTTTTCAAGTTGGAGAAAGTTAATCCGGGTAACTGCGTATGTCTTCAGATTCATAACAAACACAAAGGCCAAACGTAGAGTGCACCATGGACCGCTAGAAACTGAAGAATTAGCACATGCAGAAAGACATTGGCTCATTGAAGCCCAGAAGCCACTCCATGAAAGAGTAAGCAAGGACGAGTTCAAATCACTGAGCCCATTCATAGAAGAGCATATGATTTATGTGGGTGGCAGAGCTAGTCAGGGAACACTCTCATATGATATGAGGCACCCAGTACTACTACTTAGAAACCATCGCATATCTTACTTGATCACTAGACACTTTCATGAACGTGATCACTATGGCATTGCTACTACGGCTAGCAAAGTCAGAAGTAAATACTGGATCATTGGGGTAACACACTTGGCGAAAACTGTGAAAGTCAGGTGTGTAAGTTGCAAAGTACATGAGCATCAAACAGAGAAGCAACTTATGGCTGACCTCCCTGTTGAAAAAATGGCACCCTTCACGCCACCGTTCTATAATACTGCATGTGATTACTTTGGTCCTTATACGGTGAAAATTGGAAAAAACAAGACGACAAAACATTATGGGGTGATATTCACATGTCTGAACACGAGAGCAGTTCACCTAGAACTTTCAGTTGACTGCTCGTCAATGGAGTTTCTTCAAGTTCTGAGAAGATTCTTCGCGATCAGAGGTTGTCCACGATTGATACAGAGTGACAACGGTACCCAGATGGTTGGTGCAGAGAGACAACTCAGAGAAATGGTGAAAGGTTGGAGCAGGGATGATTTGAAGGAATTCTATGCAGAAAGACAGGTTATATGGAAATTTGTCACACCTTTAGCACCTCACCAAAACGGATGCGCTGAAGCACTAGTCAAGAGCTGTAAGCATGCGATAAGGAAATCCATCGGAGACCAACATCTAACTCCATTGGAATTTTACACATGTCTTCAAGAGATAGCCAATTTAGTGAATGAAAGACCAATTGGAAGACATCCAAATGACCCAGATGACGGAAACTACATATGCCCACATGACATTCTTCTTAGAAGAGCATCTAACACAGAGTTCCACAAGGACCGTTCCGCACCAGTAAGAATCCCAGACATAGAGTTGAGTTTGTGCAACAAATTGTCAATTCGTTCTGGAAGAACTGGAAGACGTTTATCCTGCTTTGGTTCCGAGAAAGAAATGGAGAGTCCACCACCGAGATGTAAGGATAGGCGATGTTGTGGTCTTAGCAGATCCGAACTCCGTCCGAGGAAAGTGGAACATCGCCAGAGTCACCGAGGTTCATCCAGGTCAAGATGGAAAAGTACGAAACGTCAGAGTTAAGACTCAAAATGGAGATTTCAGCCGACCAATTACCAAAATCGCAGTGATTTATCCGGTAGAGGGATATGAGGAGAATTAGCTTTGTGAGTAAACGGTGTTGGTATGCGACCTTCTCGCATAGTGGGGGAGGATGGTTCATTCGGTGTCCTTTTCTTCCCAGAAATAACTATAGAGGGCGTATCAATCAGAAGTGCTTGTAGACTTGCATGGTATATCTGTTTGAAATTAACGCTCTGGGAACAAGCGATTAATTTACTGTTTGTCTGGAAAGAATCTGTTTGTTCTTGACCATAGTCTAGGGTATCTGCCACTGTTATTTGATGATGTAAAGATCAAAGGTGCAAGTAGTTGTATGTCCGGGCAAAGCAGTAAGTTTGAATTTAACTGTACGGTGTCATTTGTATGCTAGCTGTGAATTTAACTGTAGGGTGTCATTTGTATGCTAGCTGTGAATTTAAACTGTAATTATTCGAATCATTGTACTATTTAGCGTCAGCAAAGAACTGAAAATCATTATTGTTATTTTTCAGAATTGAATGGTAGTTTATAAATAAACTACGATACATTAACCTGGACGTACATCTGTTGTGTAATCCCTCCCGCACCATATATATATATGTGTGTAATAGACTGGCAAGCTATGGCTTCGGTGATGGTTTGTGGCGGCCATTTTGAATTATTGGCTTGTGATGATCGTATGTTGTGGGTGTAATTAGTCTAGGATTACGTAGACGCTGCCCGTCGGTTCACCATAGAAGCCATGACAATTCGACCCCCCGTGGCAGCGTGCGCGCGAGCTACAGCCTATGGTGCAGGGGAAATTTCAAATGAAACAGTAAACGCTGCCCGTTTTACCTTGGAAGCCACGACAATTCGACCTTCGCAGTAGCGTGCGCGCAAGCTACAGGCAAGTGGGAAAATTGTGCATGAATGTTTAATGAGCAAAACAATACCAAATCTTTGAGGATCGACCGAATATTACAGAAGTTATTGCAAGTTTGGCATGCCTGCCCCCTCAATTCATACGCATTCAGATGGGAAAATATACGATCTGCATTTTTTGCGATAAAAAAATGCCCAAGGGTGCCAAAGTGGCACCCAGTGGATTCCGGTTCAGGATAGTCTAAAGATCAGGAAACCACAAAAAACCTTGTATATACTCGATTGCAACGTTCAGTCAAATTTCCCTACTCGGCAACTCGACTATAACACTATGGCGAGCACAGGATGGCCCACTCGTATCACCAAAGTATTGTATATGGCGAATCAAGTGTATTATATAATAACTGCGACTGTTGTTGTTGCTGATGATAATGTAATGCTGATGATGATGACGACCACATGCACTTGGAACGTTTCAATAGTAAAATGATGATAACTCTTTATTCTTGTTGTTTGTGCACAGCGGCGTGCGTGCGGCGTACTCATGTGTTGCAGAGGAGCATTTGAACGGCATTTACAGGAAGTTATCGGCAATAATAGGCGAAATAGAGTAGAGAATTAAGACTTTTGTAGTAAATACATTTCGTGTTTATTTACCATCCTTTTACTTTTGAAACGTTCCAAGTGCATGTGATGACGACAACCACAACGACGACAACGACGACGATAAAGAGGACGATGATAACGAGGACGATGATTATGAGGACGACGATGATGGCGATGACGACGACGACGATTCTACTGCTGCTGCTGCTGCTGCTGATGATGATGATGATGATGATGGTGGTGGTGGTGGTGATACTGACGCCACGCCCGCGTGCAGGGGCAACAAAGTATATGATCGCAGTAAATATTTGATTTCGTCGACGACAGAGAGTCCATATAGCCACTACCACGCCGCGTAGGGCTCATAGGGTCTATGTCCCCCAGGGTACTGCCGGAACGTACCCTGGGTACGGTCCGGTATACCGAAACGTACCATGGTAACTATTTAATATGGTTATGGTTAGGGTTAGGGTTATGGTTAGGGTTAGGTTTAGGGCTAGGGTTAGGGTTAGAGTTAGGGTTAGGGTTAGTGTTAGGGTTAGAGAGTAGGGTTAGGGCTAGGGTTAGGGTTAGGGTTAGGGAGTAGGCGTAGGCGACTCCCTAGACTCGTTAGTGGAGTAGGCGAGGTACGGTCCGGCATATTAGATAGTACCAGTATACCGGACCGTACCCAGGGTACGTTCCGGCAGTACCCTGGAGGACATAGACCCTCTCAGCATAAGTATCTAGCCGAGTTCATCTCCACCTAATTGGGAATTTCATCAAGAAACGCGCATAATTTACTCGCTGCACACACACAACTGTCGAATCAGTTCGCGTTTGATAAACTCGTCACACCCGTTTCCTCGCTCGACTCTTTGTATGCGACTGCGTCGAGTTAACCTTTTGTTAACATTTTAAGCCGCCCGTGAAAGGTTTTTGCGAAAGGCTTTTAGCAAAAACAAATACGTGATTGTTTTCATTTCTAGAGCCAATAAATCACTTGAGTAAGCTATTGTGTTGTAATTACCGCTATTTCTCGGGCGCCACCTGAGCATTAGTCTTACTACCCGTGTCGCAGCATGGCACGTACGGCTATTGCAAGGTCACGCGATTTTAAAGTGAGGCTTTCCAACAATTTTCCCAGACCGTTCTCATATTTTGCCGACCACTGCGATACTTACTGGTATTGTTTGCCCAAAAGTGTCCACAATAAGGCTAGCATATCTTAGCCTACTCGTACATTGTTACATTCACCGATATATGCAACGATAGAAATTTCTTTCTTGATTTAATGTTGTTTGTTACTTGTTGATTTAACTTCTTTCCCGCGAGACTCTGTCTCTAAACTTGATTTGTTAATGGTTATTTACATAAAGTAATAGAGACGCGTACCACTTACGTTACAGAATCAGAAGAGCAATTGTTAGATTAGATGCACTTGTGTGCACTTGGCGCTATTTAGACCTGTCACGACATTCAAAAATGCGACAGTATTATTTGCCATTTTATATATTATAACAGCCTGAATCGTTAGATGTTTTCAAGTTGGTGAAATAAGTATCACATTCGATCGTAGGTGAGAATATATTTTACTTGGGTATTCTATTTGTGAATGTATTTGAGAAATAGATCCTTTAATTGTCTGGCGCTCCACCCTTGGTGACCTGCTACTTGTCTGACACTTCTAGCTGCCCTCTACCGTCACCCGACTGCCCTATGTTTATGTATAACGTGCCTCCCTGCACCTCTGTGACCGACATGTCGCATGAAATTTACGGGACACTCTCCGCGTCTTGGCGAGGCACGCGAGTGTTTATGTTATACATATAGTTCCCAAGACCCATCCGCTCGCAACATCGTTGCGTTTTTGTCGAGTGCAATAGATCAGTGGTACGACATGACGATGTATGTGAGTGTCGGCAGGTGGCCACAGATCAAGCCATGCAAAACCAGGGCGACGCTGGCTAATCATAATAGCTCCGCCTGCCGTGATGTCGAGGGCGGCCGTGCTAATGACCTTACGTGTGCGGCGTAACGTACACTGCCGCGCGGGCGGAGTCGAGTCGAGCAGGAGAAGAAGAAGGAGAAGAAGAAGAAGAAGAAGAAGAAGAAGAAGAAGAAGAAGAGGGGCGGGGAGGAGGAGGAGGAGAAGAAGAAGGATGAGGAGAAGGAGAAGGAGAAGGAGGAGGAGGAGGAAGAGGAGAAGGAGGAGGAGAAAAAGGAGGCAAAGGAAAAGGCGGAGGAGGAGGAGAAAAGGTAGGAGGAATAGAAGGTAGAAAGGGTAGTTTCCCGCATTTTAGCGAGAGTACATGCGTGCACGTAATAGCTGAATCCTTGGATCTTCTGGCGTAAGTTCAATAATAATTGTAGGGTCAATGCGCGCGTGCGTGATGCTCCACTGTGCGCGGGTCTGTCTGGCTGGCTGGCTGGCTAGCTGGTTTGAAGTTTCCTTGTCTACGGCACTGTATCAGTAGTCTATATCTCTGTGGCGCGCTCGTAGTTGGGTGTCCGCGCGCATATCTGCATGCAAGTGTGTGCGTGCGTGCGTGCGTGTAGTAAGTAAGTAAGTAAGTAAGTAAGTAAAAACTTTATTTAACGACGGTAAAACATGTTAGGTACAGACACAATAAATTGGCGTTGACCTATCTTCCACATGGCCGTCACTCGTGCGTGCGTGCGCGCATGCGTGGATGCGTACCAACTCGTTGTGCCCGCGAGTAGTGATCAGCGCCGCTCATTCCACCTAGACCCCTGGTTCCCAACCGGGGGTACTAGTACCCTATGGGTGTACCAGCGAACACCACAGGGGGTACATGGGAAGCCTCTTAGACAATTGAAAAAAAGTAGTGCTATATAATAATCAGCGGGTGATTCAGGCATCTCTATCGACAGTGCCAACAAGTCATGGTTTAAAAAAAGTTAGTTTCTGCCATGCAGCAGCAGTCTTCTCATTGAACTGTCGTTTAGGGCACAGTGCGCTTGATTGGAAAAATTCGCCGTGCGACTGCATTAATAAAACATAAACATGATGTCAAAATATTCATGACAATACATCAGTGTTGGTTCTTTATTTTGCTTATGGTGGGCGAAGGGGTACCAGGAGAAAAAATTAGGGGTACGGGGAGTCCAAAAGGTTGGGAACCAATGACCTAGACCGACATCCTAGTCGTTGATAGACTGATGTCCGTCTACAATCCCTCGAGACGATTTGAAATGCTAAAGCTAAAGGGATTGCTCGTCGTTACGTCTGTCATTGTCACGTCTAAAACACGAATGTTCGTCGCCAGGCTACGCGTCTGCGCGAAATCTTAGCCCGCACATGACACTTGGCTATTCAGGCAAACATGACCGATTCCAAGATTACACCTAGCGACCTAGCTGCCATAGGTTGTTGTTGATTCTGAGCAGACCACGGAGTCAGTATCTCTCCACATAATTTAAAATGTTTTAAAATTTACATTAAAATTCAAAATTACAGGTGTGTGGATCTGGTTATGCGATATATATATATAGCATATTATTTGACGTCTATATATATATATATATATATATATATATATATATAT